AGCAATGGTCTCAAGTTGCAGTGGGAGAGGTCTAGGTTGGATATTAGGAAACACTATTTCACTAGGAGGGTGGTGAAGCACTGGAATGCGTTACCTAGGGAGGTGGTGGAGTCACCTTCCTTGGAGGTTTTTAAGGCCGGGCTTGACAAAGCCCTGGCTGGGATGATTTAGTTGGGAATTGGTCCTGCTTTGAGCAGGGGGTTGGACTAGATGACCTCCTGAGGTCCCTTCCAACCCTGATATTCTATGATTCTATGAACAGTGTTGAAGGTTGTGGTAGCTGTATTAAGGGTAAAAAGTGTGCCTGTGGATGAAGAATTAGAAATGATGTATTATAAGACACAAAATCTAGACCAAGTAACTTAAGCGGTCAGTTATGTTGTGTGTAGCAACCAAAAGTACCACAACAAAGTTTGGTGTAGTAGGCAATGATGGTTTAATTACAGACCACAGATCACTAAATGATGTCCTATCATACTGCCAAGAATTACTAAAATATTACTGATGCTAGAAGTACCATTCAATGGTTAAGCTTTCATAATCAAATGCTAGTTGGAGCTGATAAAAGCAGGGGAGAGTGGAACATGAAAACTGATCCAATTTCATTAATTATCTTTCACTTAATGGCATCAACATGCCTGCTGTAACACTCAGATATTAAATCCCAAATATTTTGGGCATCTCAGGATATATTTGATAAATTACTTAAAACAACCGTTTTAAATCACTGTACACAAAGACTACTACACATTACTTTCTTCAGTTACTGCTTGGGGTTTTGTAGCATTTAAGGAATATTGATAGGTTAATTAAATCTCAAGTGTAACAAATGAAAATTAGAACTCATTTTATACTTCAGTTAGGTGGTGTTTGAACTTGAAGACAAAGGCACAAACTTGTGCCAAAATATATTAAATACAAAAACAACAAAATGTCTAAGTTTTAATTGAACAGTTTTTAAACAAAACATTTCCAAGCAGTGACTGAACACAAATATTGCAACTCTAAGAACCTAAAGTGAAACTGACATTATGGATTGTCATAACTCAGGCAAAGATATGCACAAGTTCACAAATATTAGCAAGTTTTTTTGTAATGCTTTAAACACTACCTTTGAGAATCATGTAAGGTAAGCAATTTACTACAATACAGGTTCAGTGAGGTAGCACATTTGATGATTGCCAAATACATTTACTTCTATAGGACTAAATACAACTCAAGGGCTAAATGAATGCAAAGAAATTACAACAAAAGAAATCATAAGTAACATGGGGTCAAGGGTTGTAGCTGGCTGAGTTTCAAGATATTTCAATAGTGCTTGTTCCAGCAGCTGCACTGACATAACCCACTATCATTTTTAAAAGGTATTAAAGTTAAAATAATAATGTCACAATAGCTTTTTAAATTAAAGATTTATGGTACTTACAATTTTAAAGGGATTTGTTAGATGAAGGACTTTTTTTTACTTAGGGAGTTCTCAGAATGATGTTGTATTTTTTAATTCATTAAAATAAGCCTCACTCAGTTATTAGATTTCAAATCCGTTCTAATCTGACTCCATCAGAAATCCAGCAAGTATAGTATTTGCAGAGGTATCAGACATATTCCTCTCTACTACCAGATTGGTTGTATCTGCTAAGGTATAAGTGGCAAAGTTATACTCCATTTTAACCAACATTTGTCATGCCATACATATCAGTTTTCCTGCAACTACCCCCCTACATTTCACGTAACTACTAGTCACTATGGAGTTGTATACAAACCACAGCAAGTTATACAGTATATTACCACGTTTTGTTTGTTACTTACTCAAATATGTCAAATTTGCAAACTAATTTGAAAGACAACTTTCTTGGGGAAGAACAGGAGTACTTGTGGCACCTTAGAGACTAACAAATTTATTAGAGCATAAGCTTTCGTGGGCTACAACCCACTTCTTCGGATGCATATTGAGTGAAACATATCGAGGAGATATATATACACACATACAGAGAGCATGAACAGGTGGGAGTTGTCTTACCAACTCTGAGAGGCCAATTAAGTAAGAGAAAAAAAACTTTTGAAGTGATAATCAAGGTAACCAAGTACAGACAGTTTGATAAGAAGCAAGTGTGAGAATACTTACAAGGGGAGATAGATTCAATGTTTGTAATGGCTCAGCCATTCCCAATCCCTATTTAGCCCTGAGTTAATTGTGTCTAGTTTGCATATCAATTCCAGCTCAGCAGTCTCTCGTTGGAGTCTGTTTTTGAAGTTTTTCTGTTTTAAGATAGCCACCCGCAGGTCTGTCATAGAATGGCCAGACAGGTTAAAGTGTTCTCCCACTGGTTTTTGAGTATTATGATTCCTGATGTCAGATTTGTGTCCATTAATTCTTTTGCGTAGAGACTGTCCGGTTTGGCCAATGTACATGGCAGAGGGGCATTGCTGGCACATGATGGCATATATCACATTGGTAGATGTGCAGGTGAACGAGCCCCTGATGGTATGGCTGATGTGATTAGGCCCTATGATGGTGTTCTTTTTGCGGATACAGACTAACACGGCTGCTACTCTGAAACCTTTCTTGGGGAAGGTCTCTTGGAGAATATACCAATATTTCATAAATATCACTACGTTCAATGAAGCTCAGACAGAAGTACAGATATTTGTTTCTTATATAATCAAAAGAAGCTGAGCTAATATAGAGAGTATAGTAATCTTACACACTGTAGGAAATTACTGTGGATCTGATCAATTATCCCTGAAGATGTCTATATTCTTTAAAGCAAAGTGAACATGAATGAAGAGTGAGCTTGTTAACTTGAATGTTATAATCCAATGGTTGATTAAATAGAATGCCACACAAGATTCTCAGTTACCAGGAAAGCCTTCAGAACATAAGGTAGTATGATTTTAAAAGGTCTTTTTTTCATTCATGTTTCTCATGAGTCAGTTTTACTGGTTTCCTGACTCACTGTCCAATGCAAGTTACACAGCTACAAAATGCTGTGAGAAATTTTTACTCATCAACTCCTAGACACAGCTTTTGAAGTGCATCCTAGTTTTATTAGAAACTTCAATAATTTTCATATGAAGTGAGCCAGATATAGATAATCTGGGATAAACGAGAATACACACATAAATCATATGCTATGTAGATAGCTATACACACAGTTTGATTTTACATTCCCTCTAGATGGATCAACAGATCAGTGGAAAAATTGATGCATTATAGAGAGCCTCTTCTAATCTAAAATCTTGTTAGAAGGATGAATATGCACTTGTTTGTAGCAGGACATTTAGGGCATCTTATCTACAGAAGATGATGCATAACCTTCATAACTCATGTTACCTATCAATTAAAACATTCTGAAGCAGGGCATTTTCTCTCCCTGAGGGAGAAAAAATGATAGTACTGAGAAAGAAGTGGTTGCTCGTGTTGCATTCTTCCAACAATGCATGTTAATAAGTTTCCATTACCTTCAATGAAAAGTAAAGGAGAGGAATCAGAAACAGGAGCAAGCAGAATGACAACCATATGCTATGATTTCAGGTAAATTACAAGCACCACAAAGCAAACACAGCAGTATGATGTGTTTGTTTGAACCCTTCCCCCCACCCCCATGCATCACTGGATCAAATGATGTCTCTTATCAAATTGGTCATTGCTATCATTCTGTGTTTTGCTATTCAGATCTATTATGCTATTCAAATGCTAACTCACTATGTAACATTATATGTATGCCTCCACTCAAATTGTATTTCATAATACTCAGATGGGTAATTAAGTCTTTCAAATGACTGTGCCTCAAAAGCATCTATTCCTATAAGGTTTTAATTACAGGTACTTTCAAAAGACAAGACAGACACCCAAGCTGAATGGTTTTAGCTAGATGTCAATTCCAAATGTTATTCTGCTAACTTGATTTCTGCTTCAGATTAATGGCAGGACCACCATATATGTTAAAGCTACAGGTCATAACTCAGTAGGTCCCCTACAGTAAAGAGAATACTCAAAGCTATTGCTAAAGTCTGTAATTACTGCCCTAAATTTGCTCCAGGTCATCAACTTTTGACCTTGATACAGTAGCTTCCTTATATCATATACAGTTTTTCCTCCAATGCACGCCCATACTGCTGCATCACCACATCTAGGAAAAAGTTTATCTTAGCTGAGTTTTCAGAAGCAATGGATTTTTAATCATGCACATCCAAGACCGTTCAATAGCCTACTCAGATCTGTCCTTTAGGTATATGTATATACACATCTATGAAGTAAAACTGGTTCTCTCTACTATGCAGACTCCACACCTATGTTTTTACACTGTACATACTGTTGTCTTATAAACCAGCTGTAGATCTTGCTTGCCCTTTAATATACCCAAATCAGAATGTATAGCATAAGGGTTTACAACACAAACAGAACAGAATGCCAAAGAATTCCTTGCACCAAGTCCCTCCGAATGCAGGAAAGACTGATCCCCGGCTTAGCCTACCGAGATCGCTAGTCTCCCTATCCTGGCAGCAATCTGCAAGCACCTAGAAACTTGACTCCAGTGCTCTGCTCCCCCGTCCCAAGCCTCAGCTTTAGCTAGGTGGGAGATCTACGCTGCTCCTCTGCACAGAATCAAACCCACTATCCCATGCGGAGAAGAGGGCGGTAATGAAGAACCAAGCCCCTGGGCATCGGCATCCACTGCACAGGACGGATCCAACCAGCCCCGCTCTTGCGCCTCAAAGCAGCCCAACCAGCAATACAGCCAGCCCACAGGGCAGCATCCAGCAGCCAGGGCACTGCGGGCAGGGACGCGGGTGCAGCTCCCCCAAGCAGGGCAGCGTCCACACACAGGCACAGCCGGCAGGACCCCAGAGCAACCCCTACCAGGCACAGCAGCAGCATCCACCCCTGCGGGCAAGGCCCTGGCACAGTCCCATCCCACCCCCCCGGCCCAGCCCCCCATGCACAGGCGGCAGCCCCCCCCCGCACGGCCCGGCCCGGCCCGGCCCGGCGCCCTTACCCTCGATGGCGATGACATGCTCGCGGAGCTGGCCCTGCAGCGCCGGCTCGTCCACCCGCTCCAGCAGCTCGTAGACGGAGTAGATGTTGGGGTGCACGGACTCGAAGCGCTGGATCTCGGCGCGGATGGCTGCCGAGTTGGCCAGCTGCTGCTGGTAGCTCATGGCGCGGCCGCTCGGCTCGGGTCCGCGCCGGCAGCGCCACCCCCTCCCCGCGGGCACAGGGGGCCGCCCGGCAGCCGCACAGCCCGCCCGCTGTCACTTCATCGCGGCGGCCCGCGGGGGCCCCAGCCCCACGGCGGGGCGGACACTGGCGGCTCCTGACCCCCAACGGCCAACGGCTGCCCGGCCCGGCCTCGCTGTGGTGCCCGGTGCCGCGAGCAGCCGAGGGGGGCGGGGGAGGGGCCGGGCACCCCGCACGCCACAGAACCTCGCTCGGCAGCCCCGCTACAGCTACCGCGTCCTTCTCCGCGGCACGCTCACGCAGGCCACGCCCCCTCTCCTTACGTCACCGCGCTCCCCTGCTGCCACGCCCCCTCCCCCGTCCCTGCGCGCTGCTTCCTGGGAGTTGTAGTCCCTGCGAGGCACCTGGCCCTGCACAGCCTGGACGGAAAGGGGGTGAGAATGGAGATCAGGGAGTGGGACGGGGGAGCATAAGGGGGCGGGATGGGGCGGGACAGGGGGAGGGTTAAGGGGCGGGACGGGGAAGGGGGAACAAGGAGAATCAGCGGGCGGGGAAAGGGGAGGATCAGGGGGCGGGAAGGGGGAGGAGGGAGAAACAGGGGGCGGGATGGGGCAGGGAAGGGGGAGGATCAGGGGGCGGGAGGGGGGAGTGAAGGGGAGGAGGGTGGATCCAGGGGGGAGGAGGAGGGAGGCTCAAGGGGGCTGCGGGAGGGGGAAGGAGATGATGAGAGAGAGGTAGTGCTAAATCAGTGTCTGCTGCCCTGTACCCCTCACTCCCACCCTGAAGCCTGTTATGTTCAGGGCCTAGGAAAAGAAAAGTTAGATAAAAACATAAAAGGCTCTTGCCAGAAGGTTGCACCGCACCACTACTTTATTTCTTAAAAACCAGAATCTTAACAAACGAGAACCAAAGAAGAGAGACAGATAAAGCAGACTGCTCCCTAAGGCAGAGAGACACAACTCACCACGCCTTGCTCTAGGCTAGCTCTTTGCATACTGATTGCTTGCTGCTATACCTAGATCACATGTTTCCCTATAGAGGCCCCAGCCTGCAAGCAGGACCAGGAAAACCTTTGAAATGTAAAGTGATAGCCCTCAATTTTAACACAGTTCTCAATAGGTCACTAGGCTCATCTCTGTAGGGAACAGGGATTGAAGTCCCTGAGGCACACTTGTAATGGCTACCATCTTGACTAATACATGGGGGATTTGAACCAGGGACCTATAGAGCTAAAAGTATGAATTACTAAAGCTTTAGCTAAACATCCAAGCTGCTTTAACTTGTGGCTGTAACAACTCATATCCTCTGCGGTCTGTGGATCACCACAAACGGTGACTTGTAACATACACTCACCAGTGTGTTACACATTCTCAGTGCAAAGGGAGAAAACTATCTGAAACCATGCAGCGGGGGGTATCGTGATGGGGGGAAAGTCATCTCTTTAGCGGGAACCAGATTTTCTTTCCCTTTCCCCCTTGCCCTCAAGTGTGGGTCAACATCAAATTGGAAAGCAACCCTGCCAAGAGTGCACACATCTCATTGAGTGACCAGCCACATGGACTTGTGCTCCATTCCCACATGCCCCCCTTTCCTCTCTGGTCAGGACCTCACTCAGCTTGTCTCCTTGAATTGGTATGTGAAAGGGACCAAACCTTTGCTCATTTTGTGAGGCACCTTGAACATTTTCTGCACCCTTGAAAACTTAATAATAAATTAATAAATATTGAAAATAGCTCACCTTGACCAAAGCCAGAGGACTTTGACCACATGTGACAGAGATAATCAGGGACATTGCTTATAACAATAGTGGAGGAGAGGGAGATTTGGTTGAATGACATACTCACATGGAACCCTGAAGCCCCACAGTATGGCACTGACTGAAATAGACCCCTATCACTACTGTACTGACTCCAAATTCCAGATTAAAGAGGCATGGTATCTAATCTATCTACTATAGTCTCTTGCATTTCTATTACATTCACCCATGTACTAACCAACAAATTTGCATTAAATGTTGGATTGCAGTAGTCTGTGACTGCACTTCATTCTGGTCTATCTCATTAGGGGGTGAAAGCCATTTAGTGACTTTATTTTGTAAGTGACTGCAGGCTGTGTGGGCTGGATGTTTTTCCAGTTTGCCCAGGGCAGCAGAAATACTAGAGCCAGAGCTGGTGTCAATCCATAATATGGATCCATTCACCCAAAGATCACTGATACCAAATGTGCATCCTAACACCCTGTCAGCAGAGCATGGAATGTCATCTGTAGTAATGCTTACCAGTATGGATCTATCAATAAGACCACTGATGAAAGGTGAAGTCATACTGAAAGGTGAACTGTCAGACCGGAGGAAGATAATGAGTGGTGTTCCTCAGGGATCGGTCTTGGAACTAATCTTCTTTAACATTTTCACTAATGACCTTGGCACAAAAAGTGGGAGTGTGCTAATAAAATTTTCAGATAACACAAAGTTGGGAGGTATTCCCAATACGGCGGAGGGCCAGAATATCATACAAGAAGATCTGGACAACTTTGTAAACTGGAGTAATAGAAATTGGATGAAATTTAATAGTGCAAAGTGCAAGGTCATAATCTTAGGGACTAACAACTAGAATTTTTGCTATTAGCGGGGAATGAGTTGGAAATGACAGAGGCGGAGAAAGACCTGGGTATATTAGCTGATCACAGGATGACTATGAGCCGCCAGTGTGATGCAACTGTGAAAAAGGCTAATGCGATCCTAGCATGCATCAAGGTAGGTATTTCCAGTAGAGATAGGGAAGTGCATTATACAAGGCACTGGTGAGACCTCATCTGGAATACTGTGTGCAGTTCTAGGCTCCCATATATAAGAAAGATTAATTCAAACTGGAACAAGTGCAGAGAAGGGCTACGAGGATGATCTGAGGAATGGAAAGCCTACCTTATTAGAGGAGACTCAACAAGCTTGGCTTGTTTAGCATAACCAAAAGAAGGCTGAGGGGAGATATGATTGCCTCTCTACAAATCCATCAGAGGGATAAATACCAGGGAGGAAGAGGAGTTATTTAAGTTAAGCTCCAATGTGGACACAAGAACAAATGGATGTAAACTGGCCATCAACAATATTAAGCTTGAAATTAAATGAAGGTTTCTAGCCATCAGAGGAATGAAGTTCTGGAACAGCCTTCCAAGAGGAGCAGTGGGGGCAAAAAACCTAACTGGCTTCAAGACTGAGCTTGATTGTTTACGGAGGGGATGGTATGATGAGACTGCCTACAATGGCATGCTAGCAGCACATATCTCCAAAGGCCACCCATCTGGGTTTTACCCACACAGTCTGGGTTTTGGCTTCTGTGTCTGGGTGCCATTTAAGGTTGCCAAGTGCCAGTTTTTGACTTGAAAGTCTGGTTGAAAAGGGGACCTGGCAACCCTAAATGACACCCGACCCAAAAGTCCAGTTACCGTGGTATAGGGGGAGGCACTGGGTCATTAACCTGCATTAATGTTCAGCCAGGGCCGCCTCCTACCTGCAGGCAGGCTCCTTGAGACAATCCAGCGAGTGATGGGGGCAGGGGGGAGGAGCTAGCGATGGGAGAAGAGTTGGAGCAGGGGTGGGACCTTGGGGGAAGAGGTGAGGCAGGGACGGGGCCTCGGGGGTCTGGTTACCATCCAATAGAAAGATGGCAACCCTAGACACTAGATAGGGAGGGCTCTGAGTTACTACAGAGAATTCTTTCCCAGGTGTCTGGCTGGTGGATCTTGCTGAAATGCTCAGGGTCTAACTGATCACCATAATTGGGGTCAGGAAGGAATTTTCCTCTGGGTCAGATTGGCAGGGGTTTTCGCCTTCCTCTGCAGCAGAGGGCTTGGGTCACTTTAAACTAGTGCATTCTCTGTAACTTGAAGTCTTTAAATCATGATTTGAAGACTTCAGTAACTCAGCCAGAGATTAGGGTTCTATTACAGGAGTGGGTGTGGGTGAGGGTCTGTGGCCTGCAATGTGCAGGAGGTCAGACTCTAGATGCTCGTGATGGACTCTTCTGGCCTTAAAGCAGGGGTTCTCAAACTGGGGGTCGGGACCCCTCAGGGGATTGCAAGGTTATTACAGAGGGGGTCGTGAGCTGTTAGTCTCCACCCCAAACCCCACTTTGCATCCAGCATTTATAATGGTGTTAAAAATATAACAAAGTGTTTTTAATTTATAAGAGGGTCACACTGTGTGAAAGGGGTCAACAGTACAAAAGTTTGAGAACCACTGTCTTAAAGTCTATGAATCTATGAGACATAACTCAGTGGTTCCTCAGAAGCATTGCAGAGCTTTGCATCACTGTTTGCTTTTGACCATTAAATAACTAAAAAGGACAAAAGACAGAATGTTAATTTAAAATGCTCTAGACAAGTTACTTTGCATGAATAATTGCAGTAGTAAAAGTTCAAGCATTAACATGTCAGTTATTTGCATTTCTATCTTTTAAAAAAAAATGACAACTACAATCCATAGTATATTAGAGGGGTTGTAAAATACAGTATTGCTTTGTGAGCCCTGCCATGGCCTCAACAGAGAACTGAAGTCCCAGTTTCAAGTTAAATAAAATATCATTCTGAGATAAAAACAACAAGGAGTCTGGTGGCACCTTAAAGACTAACAGATTTATTTGGGCATAAGCTTTCGTGGGTAAAAACCTCACTTCTTCTGAGATAGAAACCCTTGAAAGCAGTTGACTGTAAACTAAATACTTTTCATTACCCCGGTACATTTTTACATGATTAGCATAAAACAAATCCTACTAACAGCACTGGTTTTGAATTTGTGGCCTAAATTATAACATCTTCTAGAAGACCATAACGTAATATAGACAAACTAGCAAGAGCTCCAGAAAGAAAAATGGTGCCTTTCTAATCTAGTAGAATTATTTCACCAAGTAAACACAATAGTGGATAAAAGAGTTTATATGTAATTTATTGAGTCCTTCCAAAAGCCCTTTCACAAAATCACTGCCACTGGGTGTACAGATCCTATTCTGGCCTGGCATGGAAATAGTTAATCCCTTTTCCTCTGGGAAG